ACGTCATTATGTATTGACGCTGTGGTAATGTTGTCATTATGTATTGACGCTGTGGTATATATTGTCATTATGTGTTGACGCTGTGGTATATTGTGGCATTATGTATTGACGCTGTGGTATATATTGTCATTATGTGTTGACGCTGTGGTATATTTGGTCATTATGTATTGACGCTGTGGTAATGTTGTCATTATGTATTGACGCTGTGGTATATGTTGTTATTATGTATTGGCGATGTGGTATATTTGGTCATTATATATTGACGCTGTGGTATATGTTGTCATTATGTATTGACGCGGTGGTATATTTGGTCATTATGTATTGACGCTATGGTAATGTTGTCATTATGTATTGACGCTGTGGTATATGTTGTCATCATGTATTGACGCTGTGGTATATTGTTGCATTATGTATTGACGCTGTGGTATATTTGTCATTATGTATTGACGCTGTGGTATATTGTGGCATTATGTATTGGCGATGTGGTAATGTTGTCATTATGTATTGACGCTGTGGTAATGTTGTCATTATGTATTGACGCTGTGGTATATATTGTCATTATGTGTTGACGCTGTGGTATATTGTGGCATTATGTATTGACGCTGTGGTATATATTGTCATTATGTATTGGCGATGTGGTATATGTTGTCATTATGTATTAGCGCTGTGGTATATTGTTTATTATGTATTGACGCTGTGGTATATATTGTCATTATGTGTTGACGCTGTGGTATAGTGTGGCATTATGTATTGACGCTGTGGTATATATTGTCATTATGTGTTGACGCTGTGGTATATTGTGGCATTATGTATTGACGCTGTGGTATATTTGTCATTATGTATTGACGCTGTGGTATATTGTGGCATTATGTATTGGCGATGTGGTATATTTGGTCATTATGTATTGGCGATGTGGTATATGTTGTCATTATGTATTAACGCTGTGGTATATTGTTTATTATGTATTGACGCTGTGGTATATATTGTCATTATGTATTGGCGATGTGGTATATGTTGTCATTATGTATTGGCGATGTTTTATATTTGGTCATTATATATTGACGCTGTGGTATATTGTGGCATTATGTATTGGCGATGTGGTATATTTGGTCATTATGTATTGACGCTGTGGTATATTT